CACCCTTCCTAGCCTGGCCCCACCCAAACTCTCCTCTTGGAAGCCAGGGTGTCCTCAGGTGGCCAGAACCCCAGGTGCCTGTGCTCCCTTAGGCTGGGACCTGGCCCTCTGCTCAAAGCTCTCACCTCAGTTGGGAAGTTAGGGTTTTACCGAGGGAGTCCTAAAGCCAAATAGCCTCTCCTTAGATCCAGGGCCCATTTTGGACAACCTGTTATCCTCCCCCAGAGTGTTCCCCATCTCACAACACCCTATCACTAGGTAGAGCTTAGACCTCCATCCCCAGGGGATGAGGGGGGGGGAGGGGGCCCGGACAGACCTCTGGTGTCCCTTTAACTCTGTCTCCACTCCCAGGAACATTTGATTCAGACTTCAGGCCCCAGAGGCAAGTCCTTCAGGGCTTAGCCAGGTTGAGCCCCAGTCTCCACTCTCCCTAGCCCTCAGAGCCAGCTTGACTACAGTGGTGCAAGTATGCAGGAGATACGAGCTCGTGGCGCCCTCTGCAGGCATCCTGGGCACACTGCACAGTACTCAACCAACCTAGGGCCTCTACTCAAAGGGACTCAAATTCTTGACGAGAACTCTTTCAACTCACTTATCTCCATTGGGACGTCATCTCTACTTAGACACATCCTGTGTACATTATTTTGTGACTAGAAAGGCAGGTTCTTTCAACCAACCCACCTGTCTTTACTGCCCGTTGCAAAGCACTGTGCAGAATACAATGCTCACCAAGGCACTGTGCACACCCTAAATCTCACACAATCCAGCCGGAGGGAAGGTGCCTAGATGCCCTCAAGGGACAGGTACTCTGGACAGAGGATCTTCTCAGGGCAGAGCAGAGTAGGACCTGAGAAACCATATCCTTCATTCCTATCAAGGGTGGCTCCAAGGTTGATGGCCTTGTCCTTACCGTTTTATCTCATTTTAATATTTTATTTATTTATTCATGAGAGACACACATAGAGAGGCAGAGACATAGGCAGAGGGAGAAGTAGGCTCCCTATGGGGAGCCCGATGCAGGACTTGATTCTAGGACCCCAGGATCATGGCCAAGCCAAAGGCAGATGCTCAACCACTGAGCCACCCAGGTGCCTGTTCCTATCATTTTATATACTCTGCTAAAGCACAGCAAGTTCCGGGATGCCTGGGTGGCTCAGCCGTTGAGTAGCTGCCTTCGGCTCAGGACATAATCCTGGAGTTCCAGGATCGAGTCCCACGTCAGGCTCCTGCATGGAGCCTGCTTCTCCTCCCTCTGCCTATGTCTCAGCCTCTCTCTGTGTTTCTCATGAATAAACAAAATCTTAAAAAAAATTTTTTTTAAAAGACAAAAAACATAACAAGTTCCTAATCTCTTGTCTGTAAAACAGAGAAGAGAAATGAAGACTCCAGAACAAAGAGGATGGGGAAGTGACCAACCTTGGAGTCTTTCTGAACACAGGCATGTGTCCAAGTTGGAGTTGAACAAATGGGTCCAGAAGGGAACATCAGTGGGGAATTCCCTCCCAAAGACTTGGAAAAAGGGGCAGGAGGCTTGTTTGCTCAGAGTAACAAAGTCCCCAGGGGTGTAAATTAACTCCATGGGGAGCTGGAGGGGTGAGGGTGCCTCTTCTTCCTTATTCTTCTGTTCCAAGATCTACTCTGGTTCTGATGGGCATAGAAGGCTTCCTGCATTACAGCCTCAACCCCTTGCCCAAAAGGTCAAGACGGCAGATCACTCACGCACTTCTTCTCTTCCATGAAACTTTCACACAAGCACTCACAGCACTGACGACAGTCAATAAATATTTGTTAAGAGACGAACCCTGGAGGAAGGTAAGCCCCACATCCCCAAGGTCTGCAAACAGTACGTATCCATCTGCCATAAGTAACATTCTGCATACTCATGCAGGCCTTGGCAGAAGAAGCCACAGAATATCACAACTCACAGAGCTACAAAGAATCAACTTTATTGGACAGTCAGGGTCAGTTTCTCTTTTTGCCCTTCCCCGTGACCTTGGCTGGTGTGAGAACTGGAGTTGCTGCCTGGTACAGAGTAGAGGAGATCTTGTTGATGTAATACAGGCCAACCATGGAGAAGATAAAGCTACAGGGCAAAGATAAAAAGACTGTGGCATCAGTGTGTATGCTCCCAGCCTGGTGCCTCCTAGGGTCAACAGCAGCAGCAGCCTTAGGAAAATGGGGAAGGGGAAAGGAGGGAGGGCAAAGGGGGAGGGAGGGACAGGGAAGGTCTGAAATTACTGGAGGATCCAGCACCAAAGGATACGATGCTGCACTCCTTATGCAACTGTGAGGCACTTACCAAGTGGTGACGCACACTCGATGGATGAGGCCAGATGCAAAGAGAGCCAAAAGGAGGCAAAGAAGAACTGAGAAGGCAAGAGGGGACAAGGAGGGTGGTGGTCGGAATTGGAAACACCAGGCATTCATATGTGGAGTCTAGGAGAAATCTGGGGCCCTCTGAATCTTGGGGGATCTGCTTGGAGGAGTATGGCACAACATCAGCAGGACAATTTCAGACACGTTTAATGATGCCCAGGACACAGAGAAGAGACATGTGCTCGTTACCAGCTCTGTCCCATCACTTCCCTATCCTGGCCTTCTTCTAATGTAAAGGAAAAGGAAAAGTGATACAGAATGTGAAGGGCAAGTTTTGCTCCCATTGGAAGTAGGCCTTTCCAACAAAAGCCAGCCACTAAGGATCAATTCATTAAACTGGCTGGCCAGTGGTGGAAGTTGAGGGCCTCACTCCCTGGACACCATTGGAGGGCCGGGTATCTAGATGCATGTGTCCATGGAGGCAGGAAAGGGTCTTGGGCTATCTAGCATAAGACTGGAGAGAAAGTGGCAAACTAGCCAGCAGGGCAGACACCACCTGCCCAGCTGGGGAGGCCAGGGTGGGAGAAGGGGGTCAAGAACCTTGCCCCACAACAAAGGTTTCTTTCAGAAACACAGGAAGATGATACACATGGAAACAACATCTCAGAAGTCTAGAGGCTGCTGGACCGAAGGAGCTCTGGAAGGCTGCAACAGGGCTAGGTGGAGAGCCACCACCCAGAGGAGCACAATGACACGAGAGCTATGTGGCAGGTTTGCGTTCTAGCAGATGAAGGCTCCTCAGAGGCGGCATTGGCTGCCACTTTCAAGTTCATGACATTCCTTAGGTGATCCTAAGGTGATACCCCAATTGCTTTATGAACTTAATTCTGTATAAATAACTAAATCATCAATTCTCCATTACATGAGCAATAACAAGTATCCTTTCAAAGAAATAATCTAACAATAATTCTAACTTGGTCAGGATTCCTGCTGACCAGAAATCTGGTGTATCTACTGGGGAAGCTCCTCACCATTATCTCAAATAAATAGAACCCATTGCCGCTGATTGAACTTCCCATCAGAACCCCTCAGTAAACTTGGTCCTGTTTCCACCCCCCCACCTCCCCCCAAGACTATGCAAAGCAAGCATGCAGGTGCCTAGTGTCCTCAGAACCCCCTGAGAACTGGGCTTCCTGCTTTCAGGCCCGAGTCCAAGCGCTCAGAGAGGCGCTGGATTCAAGGGTGGCACCCACCTCCGGCCACTCTTAGGAAGTATTTCCTTCTTCTTTTTTTTTTTTTTTTTTTTTTTTTTTTTATTTCCTTCTTCTGAACAAACTTTACCACCTAAGCACCTGGGAAGTCAGCATTGTGTTGGGGGAGGTTACTCGACTCTCGTTTGCACTTACTCTCAGGGAAGATCTTTGCTTGGAATCCTTTGCCAAAAACCAGATTCTCCAGATTATTGAAGGCCTGGTGGAGGGAGTTAAGGGCAGGTGGAGCGAAGCGACGAGGCGGAACAGCGCCCCCCACCCTCCCACCTCCAGCAGCCCTGGAAGGATACAGTGAGCGAGAAGACGAACAGGCCGGAGCCCAGCAGGCCGCCCTGGATGGTAAGCCACTCGGTGGAGGCCAGCTGGCGGCTGTACATCTGCATCCCGGCGAAGAGCAGCAGGGACAGCAGGGACGAGAGCGCCAGCGAGGTGCCCGTGCCCACGGCTGGAGGGGAGGCGAGCATCAGAGGCGCAGGGTCGGGTCGGGTCGGGCCCTCCCTGCCGCCCCTCGGGGTTGCGCACCCCCGCTGCGACCCTCCCCCCACGGCTTTCCCGGCCCCCGCGCCCTCCCGCCCCCGCGGCCCGGGACACGTCAGCTCTGCGGGCAGAGGACCGGGGCAGCCGGTGCGCCCCCGCCCCGTCCCGCCGGTCCGTAGGGGGACCCCGCCAGTCCCGTTACCCATCGCACGCTGCCCCCAGGCCCAGAAGGCACTTCAGGAAAGAAAGGCACCGAACCGCGGCGGCCGTCCGTGCGCATGCGTCAGCCCCGCTCGCGGACTCGCGGGCCCTCAGGTCCTGCCCGCACTCCCTCTAGGCGCCTGGCCGCAGCGCCCCTGCCGGCACGGAGGAGGTATCGCGTCCAGGAGCGGCCTTGGCCACCGCCCTGGTACCCTGCCCTTCCCCGCACCCCGAGAGTCGGCTGCCTTCCGCGCAAGACGCTGGGCTCATGGCCCATGGCCTCTAGCCCACTCCTGTCTTTCTTGCATTTATGTCATCTCTAGTGCCCGTTCCTCACACCTCCCTCCCCCGCGTTCGTTGCCTTGGCATCTCCCGTGGGCTCTTGCCCAAAGCAAAATCGAGTCCTCCGGTCCTCTTGCTCCGAAACTATCCTCCCGCTGTATGTAAGTAAGATTAGGGAGCCAATGAAGAGTGCGAACATAGGAAATGGCTCCCCCCCTCAAATATCATTCCATGTCACCCCTCCCCCCGCCGCCGTCTCCAAAAGACCACGTGGGGAGAACTACTGCCCACCTCCTACCTCGACGGGCGCTTTTCGAAGCTGTCCCTGGAGCATGCGCAGTGACATCTCACCCCCTCCCCTCCCCACACCCCCACCAGCCTCCTGCATCAAGCCCGGGGTTCGCAGCCGCAGCCGGGATCGGGCACCCGGGGGCGGGTGGGCATGGTAGGGCCATGGCTGAGGGTGAGGATATGCAGACCTTCACTTCCATCATGGATGCACTGGTCCGCATCAGTGTGAGTTAAGGTGGGGTCGAGGGGAAGGGGAGGGGGAGCATAGGGGTCCGGGACAGGCCGGGACCTCGGCAGGTGGAGATGAGGCAGGTCGCTGGGATGTAGCCAGGGGGCTGGGGATGGCAGAAAGCACCGGGAGGGTCGGGGTGCAGACTGGAGAGGATAATCCTGGGGGCAGCCCAGGGGTGAGTGCCGTGTAAGCGTCCATCTGCTGGGGTTTAAGGAACCTGGAGCTACCCGGATGCGGCGGGTGGGCCGGGGTAGCCGCCAGCAGTGCACCAAGGCTGGGGCTGCAGGGCCAACGGGCTATGCTATGAGGAGGGGGCGTGCGTGAGCTTAGACTGTTTCCAAGAAAACTGAGGCTAGGTGAGGGGCGCTGAAGGAGCCGCCCCAGGGTGCAGTTCCAAATTTGGACCCTTCGGCGAGACCCCACCCCACCGCGCCCCCACTCGGGGCTGCCTCTGAGCCCGCGGTTGTCATGGCAACCCGTGCCCGGCTCTCCCAGGGGCGGTGCCAACCTTGCTCCCCCCCACCACTTCCTTCCCCCTCCCTGCCTGTGCCTCCCTCCTTTGTGTCAGCTGCGCCCCTGACCGGGATGGCTGCGAAGAGAGGGACCAAGGTGAGGTGTGGGGGTGGGGCATAGCTTGAGGACCCCCTCCACCAAAAAAGGGAGGGGTACTTCCGGTGGGGAGGGGGCAAGTAGGCGGGCGCTTGTTTCCCTCAAGATTGGGAAGGGGCTTGTGACGAGTCAGGTTGCGCCGGGGGAAGGAGCGCGAGGGCCGGATGGTGCGGGTGGAGGGCAAAGGGAATGGGTTAGTGTCGGGGACCCGAGAAGACGGCTGGGGAGGTGAAGGATGGGGAATGGAGTCTGGGGCGGCTGCAGGCAGAGCCGCGGCAGGATGATGGACGCGGTGAGCAGCAGGATGGAGAGCGTGTGGCGCCTGGCTCTAGGGAGGAGTCACGCTGGGGAGAGGGGTTGCCAGAGAAGGGGGCGGGGGTCTGCATCAAGCTGCAGAATGGGCGGTGTCCTTGAGAGAAGCCGGCGGCCCAGAGGTGGGGGGATGGCGGCCGTGGCCAGGTGAGAGGGGCTGCAGGCCCAGCCCCCGCCGGGGGAGTGAAAGGGGTGGGGCTTGATGCTGGGGGAGGTAGGTGCTCCCACCCGGAGCTCCAACCGCCCCTCCGTAGGCTTTAGCTGTCTGCTGTCTGCCGGAGGAAGACGGGCAGGAGCCGGTGCTGGGAAGGTCTGTGAGCCCGGCCCAGACTCGTGCCTGGGGAAAAGCCCCATATAGCTTGTTCTGCCCCTTCCTGACAACCTTTGGGCTTCTAAGGGCAGCTGAAAGGCTTGCTGAGATATGCCCAGGTGTCCATGCTCTGACCCAACTCCTGCTCCCTCCACAGACAAGCATGAAGAACATGGAAAAGGAGCTTCTGTGCCCAGTGTGTCAAGAGATGTACAAGCAGCCACTGGTGCTGCCCTGTACTCACAACGTGTGCCAGGCCTGTGCCCGGGAGGTGCTGGGCCAGCAAGGCTATATAGGCCATTGTGGGGACCCCAGCTCTGAGCCCACCTCTCCTGCCTCCACCCCTTCCACCCGAAGTCCCCGCCTCTCCCGCAGAACTCTCCCCAAGCCTGACCGCTTGGATCGGCTGCTTAAGTCAGGTGGGGCTGGGTCCTGTGGGGTGGGGGTGGGGATGGGGATGCTGGGATGTACATCAGGAAGCTGGAAGGGTCTGGCACTGTGCAGAGGGTGAAGAGACCACTCATGCAGGCTCTAATGGGAGCTGAGCTCTGGCACAATAAAAATTATTTTTTTAATTGAACAGACTTTCCCCATCCTCAGCTAGCTGTAACTCCTCCCTCCCTACCTCTCTGGCTCTTCCACAGGCTTTGGGACGTATCCCGGGCGCAAGCGAGGTGCTCTGCACCCCCAAGTGATCATGTTCCCGTGCCCAGCCTGCCAGGGTGATGTGGAACTGGGGGAGCGGGGCCTGGCAGGGCTGTTCCGGAACCTGACCCTTGAGCGTGTGGTGGAGCGGTACCGCCAGAGTGTGAGTGTGGGTGGTGCCATCCTGTGCCAGCTGTGCAAGCCCCCACCGCTAGAGGCCACCAAGGGCTGCACCGAGTGCCGGGCCACCTTCTGCAACGAGTGTTTCAAGCTCTTCCACCCCTGGGGCACCCAGAAGGCCCAGCACGAGCCCACCCTGCCCACCCTCTCCTTCCGCCCCAAGGTGAGCCCGCTAGGAGAGGGACCTGGCAGTGTTGGGTGGGTGGACGCCCGGTGCTGTGGGCTTCTGAGGGGAGGTGGGCAGAGGTTTGCCTTGGCCAGGCTCCTTCTGTGACAAAAGAGAGGGACTGGATAAATCTTTAAGCATCTTGGAGCCCCAATCTTCTGTGTGTGGAATGAGAATGATAAAATCTGCCCTGCAATACCCATACCTTGGGGTTTGTGAACAGGATCACATGAGGTAGTTGGTGAAAGCTCCCCGTCAACAAAGGTCTGGCTGCATTCATTCATTCAGCGAGCAAATATTTACCAAGCACCGTGTGCCTGGTGCTATTATAGGCAATGGGGATGGGCAGGGAGCAAGATGGACAAGGTTAATTATTAGCCATGAGGCAGAGATTAATTATCATTATTATTGGCCTTAGGACACTTGTCCGTGTAGACGAAGGGAGGGTGCCGGCTGGGCTCCCTTCCGAGCCTTTGCCACCAGTAGGTGGCGCTGCAGGGCACCCCCGGCCCCTCTCCCCACTCCCCTCTCTCCTCTCCCGGCTCCAGCAGCTGGTCGAGGCAGGGCTCCGTACTGCTCCTGCGTTAGGTCAGCTGCCTTAAACTCACCCTTGGCTGATCATGTCGTTGGTCTCTCTGTCCCTAGGGCCTGATGTGCCCAGACCACAAGGAAGAGGTGACCCATTACTGCAAGACATGCCAGCGGCTGGTGTGCCAGCTCTGCCGGGTGAGGCGCACCCACGGTGGACACAAGATCACGCCAGTGCTGAGTGCCTACCAGGCCCTCAAGGTGAGGACCCTGCCTTACTCAACCTTGGTGCTAAGCCACACGCATACCCTCTCACACCGCCTCCGGACTGCTGGCTTCTACCGAGTGAGGCATGATGCCCACCTCTTTCTTCCCCCTCAGGACAAGCTGACAAAGAGCCTGACATACATCCTGGGAAACCAGGACACAGTACAGACCCAGATCTGTGAGCTGGAGGAGACCGTGAGGCACACTGAGGTGAGGGAGGGCACGGAGGTGGGCTTGCAGATAGGCATGGCCCAATCCCCTGGTCGAAAGCTCAGGGAGCCCATGTGTGGTCCACGGATGTGTCTGGTTCAACCAGGCTAGCAGGAACAACAGTGCCCCAGGCCAGGCTGTACCTGGGGCTACAGTGGGGATGAGGTGGCTATCACCCAGGGCAAGGATAGTTTAGGGAGCCCTGGGGACCTAGCTCAGATGCCCTCAGGCTCTGCTGCCTGCTGAGGATGGCACATGTCCCTGGAGCTAGGGTAAGGCTATGGTCTCTGATACCTGCTGCCAGGTCACTTGAGTAAACTGACCTGGGGACAGACAATAAGGGTGGCCCGGAGGCCAGTAAACATTAGTGCAGTCCAAGTGGACATTAGTGCAGTCATAGTCTCTTTTATTTGGGGGACTCCTTATAGGGTCAGGATTATGGTGTGGGCATCCAGGAAGGTTGGCACAAAGTCTCAGGAGCTGAGCCCATCTGGGTGTGCAGGTGCTGTTGCAATAGGGCCATGAGCCTGGAATGGGTGGGTAGGATTTGCCTGGGGCCTTCGTCATCCTAGATGTGCTGCAGTGCCCCAGGAGGCTGGCATAGGCTGGCACAGGTGCTGCCTTCAAGAAGGTAGTGAGTGTTGCTCTTTGGGCAGGTGAGTGGTCAGCAGGCCAAGGAGGAGGTGTCCCAGCTGGTTCGGGGACTGGGGGCTGTGCTGGAGGAGAAGCGGGCATCACTACTCCAGGCCATTGAGGAATGCCAGCAGGAGCGGCTGGCCCGTCTGAGCGCCCAGATCCAGGAGCACCGGAGCCTACTGGATGGCTCAGGTCTGGTGGGCTATGCCCAGGAGGTTCTTAAGGAGACAGACCAACCCTGCTTTGTGCAAGCAGCCAAGCAGCTGCACAACAGGTACACGGGCACAGCACAAGGGCACAGGCTCCTAGGGGCAGGGGCATCATGGGTGCAGCCACTGTGGAAGACGGCCTCCAGAGTGCTGCCCAATGGAGAGATGAGCCCTGAGGGGGTTTGTCCAGCCACGCTGATATCCAGCTGGCCTGAAGGGACAAGGAAGTGACCTAAGCAAGTGCCAAAGCTCTAGGGATGGGCGAGGCAGAATCAAGGGGCAGGGCAGCTGCCCACACAGCAGTGCCTGACCCTTGCCTGCCCACATCCCAGGATTGCCCGGGCCACGGAGGCCCTCCAGACGTTCCGGCCAGCTGCCAGCTCCTCCTTCCGCCATTGTCAGTTGGATGTAGGGCGTGAGATGAAGCTGCTGACAGAGCTTAACTTCCTACAAGGTGAGGAGGTGGCCGGGGTGGCCCCGCGCCCAATTAGAGCCTTCCTCCCTTCTTTCCCAGCAGCGGGCCCGGGGGGCAGTGCCCACCGGGGACCTCCCTGGCCTCCTGCCCAGCCTGGCCAGCTGCCCCTCCCACCTCACCCACCCGGCCACACTGTCCCACCGCGCTCAGCGCTGCTTCTCCCTCTCTTTGTTTGTAGGCTGTGGCCACCGCGGACTCTGCTCCGGAGCACCCCAGGCAAGTCAGCGGCCCTGCCCCGGGGGCCCTGCCCTGCCGCCCCCACTCAGCTCGGCCACCCACTCATTGCTTCCTTCTCTGTCTTGCCCTCACCAGACTCTTGGTCTTCCCCCCACCCCTCTGCCCTAGTCCCCTTTGTCTCTCTCTGCCTGCCCTAGGCTCCTGCCTCATCCCTGCCCTTCTGACCTTTTGTCCTTGGGATCCTTGCCCTCTGGACTTTACTTCTCTTTCCCTTGACCTTTGTCTCCTGCCATTGTCAAGCTGATGCTTGCCCTTTGCTGTCCCCTTCTCTGCCTTGCTGACTCTCACATCTGTCTCCCTCCAACTCCACCCCTCCTTCCTGTCCAGTGCCCCTTTTCCTGGGTCCCAGTGGCCTCTGCCTGCCTTTCTCCATGGCTCTTCTTTATTCATAGAATTTAAAAGGTCGTAGAAAGAAGGGTCCCCATCTGGTCTAAGACCATTTTTGACAGAGGAGGAAACTGAGACCCAGAAATGGGAAGCAACTGCCCCAAGGCCGGAGCTGGGCAAAGGGCAGTCCAGGGCCCGCACGAGGCCTCCTGCCCCCTGCGAGTGCAAGCCAACACACCTCTCCCCTGCTCCTTTGGGCTCTGCCCTACCCCTCCCTGCCAGGTACCCAGGTGGCCTCACCTCCAGCCCCCTCTCACCCACACTCACCCCCCCGGCCCCCGCTGCTTTCCCCTTTCCTGCCTGCCCTCCATGCCAGGCCCATGACCAGGCCCCGACTGACCCCAGCTGTCTCTCCCAACAGTGCCCGAGGCTCCCGTCATTGACACCCAGCGCACCTTTGCCTACGACCAGATATTCCTGTGCTGGCGGCTGCCCCCCCACTCACCACCTGCCTGGCACTACACCATCGAGTTCCGGCGTACCGATGTGCCTGCCCAGCCAGGCCCCGCCCGCTGGCAGCGGCGGGAAGAGGTGAGGGGCACCAGTGCCCTGCTCGAGAACCCTGACACAGGCTCTGTGTACGTGCTGCGTGTCCGCGGCTGCAACAAAGCTGGCTACGGCGAGTACAGTGAAGATGTGCACCTACACACACCCCCAGCACCTGGTGAGCGGGCAGATGGGGGGCACTGTGTGGCACCTCCAGGGCGCAGGCTGTGTGGGGACCCACGAGCCCTACTGACAGCTGGTGCTGGGCAGGCACTGGACAGACAACAGTGGGCTATGCTCCGGGACCCTGGGGCTAGGCTGCCTGGGTTCACATCCCCACTCTGCCTCTTGCCAGAGGTGGCCCTGGGCGAGTCGTGTGCCCCCACTGAACTCCCAGTCCCTCTTCTGTAGGGACAGTGACAGTGTCTGTGAGAATGAAGCCAGGTGAGTTCCCAGCTCCCACTAAGAACTCCATGATGGCAGCTCTCCAGGGGGGCCCAGCTGGGGGGTGCGCTGCAAGGTGTAGGTTGAAGGTAGGGGGCATAGCACCAGCTGGAACAGAGCAGCAGTGGGGACTTTCTGGGGGGCCAGCCATCAGAGAGGGGTGGGAGGAAGCCCTGCAAGTCCTCTAGGTCTGGGGAACCAGTGTCTGGGCCCACCACTAAAACTCTTCCTGGGATCCCGGGCCCATTTGGCATGCCCTTCTTTTCTCCCTATGTCCTCCATTGCAATTCTGTAGGCCCTAGTCCCTGGAGCCCCCACCCATCCCTGGCAGCATGTTTCACGTTCCACAATCTTCCAGTGTCCTTTGCTGACACCTCACGGCCTCCACGGCTTCCCTAGCCGGTGTTGAGGCCAGTGTTCATCCCCTGACGTCTCTCCTTTGTTACCCTCCCCGACTGCAGTCCTGCACTTCTTCCTCGACGGCCGCTGGGGGACAAGCCGGGAGCGGCTGGCCATTAGCAAGGACCAGCGAGCAGTGCGGAGTGTGCCGGGGCTGCCACTGCTGCTGGCTGCGGAGCGGCTGCTCACCGGCTGCCACCTGAGCGTGGACGTGGTCCTGGGCGATGTGGCTGTGACCCAAGGACGCAGCTACTGGGCCTGTGCCGTGGACCCGGCCTCCTATTTGGTCAAGGTGGGCGTCGGCCTGGAGAGCAAGCTTCAGGAAAGCTTCCAGGGTGCCCCCGATGTGATCAGCCCCAGGTCAGGCCTCTTGGGGGGGTGGCAAGGGGGCCCAGGTGGGGGAGCTGAGGATGGGATGGAGGTGGTGAGGGGAGCTCCCACGGGCTTGGGGGGCAGTGGGGGACTCTAGGAGCATGGATGCCAGGCTGGGGCTTGTGGCCAGGGCAGGCGGGGGCTTAGGGGAAGGGCTTAGAGAATTGGTTTTCCAAGGAGGAGCGTATGGCTGGGAGAGGGGGCCATCCACTTGCTCCATCTGTCCTCAGGACCACCACACCATCTCTCCGAGCCTCTGCGCCTCCCAACACCCTGTTCCAATGCATTTTCTCCATGAAACCCTCTCTCCTCCTTCACCATGTCTGTTCTCAACATCCTGAGATCCTTCCCTGAAAATGTCCACCTCCATCTCCTCTCTTGCCAGTGTCTGTTTAACACCCCCTAATACATGCACTTCCCCAAACCCTTCCTCCCAGCACTCCCTTAGCAATCTCTAAACACCCCATTTCTCTGCAGTACTCTCCTGCCAACATCAATCCCCCCAACCCTGTGGCGCCCCCAGCCCCCTCCATCCCACCTCCCTCCCAACACCCACCTCCCCGACCACCTTCTCTCTCCAGCCCCTCAGTGACGAAACCCTCATCCTTGAATGCTCCTTGAGGGCCTCACCAGCACGATGTCCCCATGTCCCCACATGGTTCTCCTTGCCACTTGCTCATCTCCTGTCTCCCTGGGACACTTGATCCCCAGCTGGTCCCTCCTTCTCCGCCAACTCCCTGCCAGTGTGCCTGCTTTCAATACCCCTCTCCCACTGGACTCACACCCACAGCCCCACATTTTCATCGCTGTGTCTGCGACACATCCTCTCAGTACCCCAAATGGATCCTTTCAACCACTTGCTCCCTGACATTCCATCCTCATGGTCTCAGGCCTCTGCCCCCACCCACCCACCCGGAGTGCCACACCCCTCCCCCCCAACACTCTCCTACCCAACTCCACTTCTGCAGGTACGATCCGGACAGTGGGCATGACAGTGGTGCCGAGGATGCCACAGTGGAGGCGTCCCCGCCCTTCGCTTTCCTGACCATCGGCATGGGCAAGATCCTCCTGGGGTCTGGGGCCAGCTCAAATGCAGGGCTGACAGGGCGGGATGGCCCTGCCGCCAGCTGCACTGTGCCCCTGCCACCCCGCCTGGGCATCTGCCTGGACTATGAGCGGGGCCGTGTCTCCTTCCTGGATGCTGTGTCCTTCCGCGGGCTCTTGGAGTGCCCTCTGGACTGCTCAGGGCCTGTGTGCCCTGCCTTCTGCTTCATTGGGGGTGGTGCAGTGCAGCTTCAGGAGCCCGTGGGCACTAAGCCTGAGAGGAAGGTCACCATTGGGGGCTTTGCCAAGCTGGACTGACCCTTTCTGGCCCCTCCTGGGCCCTGGTCCCCAGGCCTGCTGGAGCTGGGTTATTCCTCCGGCAGCTTCTCCCCAAACTCTTCCTGCCATGTCGTCCTGTCCCTTTCCCTATGTCTGTGTATTCCCGGGGCCTTCTCTTGACCAAGGGACTCTCCCCTGTTCACCCTTCTAGATGTCCCCCATTTTCTCCATTGCCTGTTAAGCCAGGCTCCAGCCCCCACCAAGTCTCTGCCCCACACCCTGCCCATGGCATCTTACCCAATTCACGGAGAGAGCCCCTGCCCCATCCTTGTCCTGTACCCCTCCCTAGGCTGACTGGGAGGGAAGGCATCTGGAACACTGGGCATGGCCCCCAGCTCTGCGCTCTGCCCTTGGCCCTGCCCAGCTCCCTGCCCCATGGATGCTGAGCTCCAGCCTCGGGGCAGGCAGGCACTCCCTGGTGAGAGGATGGGGGCCCTGTCATCCTGCTTGAGTTGTCCGGGTCCCATGTCCCTCAGCCGCATGCCTGTATCTCTCCTCTCTTGCATGCTTCACCCTGTCCCACACCCATGCCAATGTGCCAAGTCTCCCTTGGGGCCCCAGCTGAAGTTGGGTGTCCCCAGTGGGTTCGGCTAGGCAAGGCCTTTGGGGCTCCCTGCTGCCCCCTGCAGTAGGCACTGCCAGGCCTGTGCCAAGCAACAGCTGTTATTTTCATGGTTTATAAACAATAAATGACGTTGCCAGGCACATCTCTGCCTTCCCTAAGCCTGACCATCCCTTTTCATTTCTGCGCTGGGTATGACAGGTGGGAAGGATCCAGGGAGCTCCGCTACTGCTCAGAGCAGGGGTGCTCAGGGGATCTGCTACCCAAGGGAAGGAGATCCCAAGCCAGGTGCTCCCAACCCTCCTCCAGCCACACGTTCTGGCTCAGGCTCCAGGCGACAGTGGCCTTCAGGGGGTGCATTGTGCTGGTGGCTGAAGGCCATGCCAGGGCCAAGGCCCCCAGGGCATGTGGTGAGGGGGGCAGGCACCGTGCCTGGGCCCAAAGGGTCAGGGAACCAGAACCACTTCCCCATTCCCAAGGTGCCTAGAGCAGACCCTGCTGGCCAGGGAGGGGGCCAGGCCTGGCGTCAGCGTCCGGATCTAATGCTGTGCTTATCATGGCCTGTTGACTCTATGTTGACTCTGCCTGTATTATCGCTGCCCACAGACTTACTTCACACCCTGGCAGCTAAGAATAGAGCCGCCTATGGGCACTGGGCCAAGGGGAGGCAAGGACGTGGCTGGCACCAGCCCCCAGCCTGAGGAGAGGGGAGAGCCAGGGGTGCAGGTGGAGCTGGGTCACACTGACTTCGGGTCACGCTGGCCTCCAAGCCAACTCAGTTTCGTTTCCTCCTTCCTTGTGTGCCACCAGGGATGCAAAGAGGTGACCTGTGCCCCAATGTCATCTCTCCACGTCTCCTGCTTTCCAGACAAAGCCTATTCCTTGCCTTCTTTCCCTGCCCCCAACTCCTGCAAAGACCCCTTCCAATGCCCCCCCAGCCTGCCCCCCACCTATGGGTCACAGATGACAGATCCAAAGTTGGCAGTCAGCACAGATGAGGTCCCCATTTTATTCAGCCGTGGTCTGGTTTGTACTTCCAACCCGGGACTTTCTGGGTCAGTCCTCCTGGGAGCCCCTGTCCCCAAGGGGCTCGGATGGGCTTCAGCAGGGCTGACATGGGTTAGGGGACATGGTGGGGTCTGTGAACAGCCCACCTGAACCCCCTAGTTCACCAGCCCAGAACACAGTTGAGAGGAGAGGACTCTGGTGGGGGCCTGGGGGAGGCAAGTGGCATTGTCATCTGGACGCTGGGCAGGCAATGTGCTCCTACAAGTTGGCAGAAGTGGCTGCTGGGTTCGGGTTCATGTAAGAGAGGCTGCTGCCCCCATTGCCTGCAGAAACCTGGGTGGAGGGAGGAGACATGGGCTGAGAAGCTGTGCGTTTCCTGGGAGGAAGTGGCTCCCGGATCACACCACAGGGTGGGGTAATAGGTCTGAGAGTCTAACTCTCAAAGGGTTAATTGGGAGAGCACCTGCTGGGCACTAGCAGCAGCCAGGTGACTGTAAACAGGGCGCAGGGCCACTCCTCCTCCCTCTGGTCCCCTTCACTGCCCCCCTCGGCTCTCAGCAGCCCCCTCGCCTTCCCCTACTGCCCCTTTCTCCTTCCATCGCGCTCCTCCAGCCCAAGCAGGAGTATCTGCCTCTGTAAGACTGGGAGAAGGAAGTCTCTGAGCAAAGGAAAACAGGCTCAAGGGAAGGAAACTCCCCTCCCCCGACCTGGAGTGTCGCTCAGGTGGCCCAAGTAATTATTGACTAGCTCCTGGAGAGAAAGGCCAGGTGAGAAACAAGGAGGAGGGGTCCTCGCTTCCTCCAGACTCCTGAGAACCCCTTGGCACCCAGGCTCACCTGGATGGGTTATACTTCTCCCCCACATCCGAGACCCCCTCTATTCCTGCCAGACTTTCTAAATCCACCCTCTGCTCCTAGGAGCTAAATGAATAGGGGCACAGGTGCTCATTCCTTGGTGAGTCCTGCATGGATGGCGTCACATCCCTTTCATCCTGGGTCCCAGGGAGCAGCTGTGCTGCCAGTTCAGCAGAGCAGGGAATGCTGCTTTGGAAATGCTGGTCGTGGAGACACTCTTTTTTGAGATCCCCTTCCTCCCAAGGTCTCCTCCCCTCCCCCGCTGTTCCACCCCACCCCTCGAAGGCCCTCCTGCCTCCGTGGGCCGCCACCACCACCGCCACTGCCACCACCACCACCACTTACTTGGTGCCCCTCTCCTATTCTACCTTCTCTGAGCATTTTCAGAAGCCCCGCGCAGCCCAAACCTCTGCCTCCCTCCACCTGCGGGCCCCTCCTCACCTCCTCATAGGGGCTGTGTCTATTACCACCAGGGGGCACATAGCGCCCATGGGTGTGGTAGGTGGGGTACTCGCTCATAGGATGGTAGGCGTCTCGGGTTGGAAAGATGTCCAGCTGCCCACAGTTCTTTCGGCGGCACTGGCACACGGTCTGGGAGAAACAGGGTGTTATGGGAGGCCATGGAGTTCCTTCTAGCAGGGGGGCTTCTGGCCAGGGCTGGAGACCTAACACTTACCAGGGCAACAACATAGATGATGGCGAGTGCAACCAGAACACAGACCAGCACCAGCAGGGCAATGCCCCAGCCAGGAACCCCAGACTCGAATGGGGCAGAGGAAGGGAAGGACACATCTCGCACTAAAAGGAAAAGTAGGGGTCAGAATATTCTTCCAAAGGAGTGACCTTCCCTGTTCCAACACCCTGGGGGACAGTAGGAACCCAGGTGCTGGACAGAGGGGCCCCCGAAGACAGAAACAGAGACATGGTGCTGGGCCACAGCTGGGAAAGGTGGCCTCACCACTAATACTCGAGATGTTCAGGTTATATCTGGCTCCTTCTTTGCTGTCTTCTAACTGTGTCTTCACCTTGTTGGCATCAGTGGCACCATTTCGGAAGGCCAGAGTTGATTCTACCACCACAGATCCTGGTCTGCTCACAGGGAAAGCGGTGACTCAACCATAAGTCCCACCTTCAGGTGCAGAGACTCCCCCAACCAAGGCAACCTGCCCCTCCCCCACACAGGTTCCACACCCAGAACCCCCTACCTGAATCTGATGTTATAGAGGCCCAGGAAATCTTCCTGTCCATAAATCTGCAAAAACTGGGTTGAGAATGGAAGGACTAAGGCTTGAGGCAAACAGTCCAGGCAGTTTGGAGGCTGCTGTGGGGGGAGCATGGAGCACAGAAGAATAAAGACACCTACTCACCAATTCAGAAATGTTCCTCTGCAGCTCCTGGTAGTAGTTGCTGCTGGGATTTTCCAGAGAAGAATTAAACTGGAGGTTCAAAATGGAAAAGGACAGGAAGAAGAAGGAGATCCTAATAGACTGGGGAGAAGTGCTATGATTGGAGGAGATGGGAGGTTCCATGCTATGGTTAGTGGTGCTGGCGGTAGTCCTGGTGGTGTGGCTGCTGGCCCAGGATGAGGCGCTGAGTTTTCCCAAGGTGGAAGTGGAGTTTGAGACTGGGCTGATGGTGGAGGATGAGGTGCCATGCTGTGCTGGGGTGGCAGTCAAGCCTGAGACAGGGCTGCTGGGCGGGGATAAGGAGCTGAGTTTTCCCAAGGTGGAGGTGGAGCTTGAGGCTAGGCTGGTGGTGGAGGATGAAGTGCCAGGCTGTGCTGGGGTGGTGGTGGAGCCTGAGACAGGGCTGCCGGTAGGGGATGAGGAGGTGGAGTTTGAGGCTGGGCTGCTGGTCAAGGGTGAAGAGCTATGCTTTCTTAAGGTGGAGGTCGAGCTTGAGGCTGGGCCGCTGGTCCGGGATGAGGTGCCATGCTGTGCTGGGGTGATTATCGAGCCTGACACAGGGCTGCTGGTCAAGGATGAGGAGCTGTGTTTTCCCAGGCTGGTGGTCGAGCTTGAGGCTGGGCTGCTGATCAAGGATGAGGAGCTATGCTTTCTCAAGGTGGAGGTCGAGCTTGAGGCTGGGCCGCTGGTTGGGGATGAGGTGCCATGCTGTGCTGAGGTGATTATCGAGACTGACACAGGGCTGCTGGTCAAGGATGAGGAGCTGTGTTTTCCCAGGCTGGTGGTTGAGCTTGAGGCTGGGCTGCTGGTCAAGGATGAGGAGCCATGGTTTCTCAAGGTGGAGGTCGAGCTTGAGGCTGGGCTGCTGGTCGGGGATGAGGTGCCATGCTGTGCTGGGGTGATTATGGAGATTGAGACAGGGCTGCTGGTCAAGGATGAGGAGCTGTGTTTTCCCAGGCTGGTGGTCGAGCTTGAGGCTGGGCTGCTGGTCAAGGATGAGGAGCCATGCTTTCTCAAGGTGGAGGTCGAGCTTGAGGCTGGGCTGCTGGTCAAGGATGAGGAGCTATGCTTTCTCAAGGTGGAGGTCGAGCTTGAGGCTGGGCTGCTGGTCGGGGATGAGGTGCCATGCTGTGCTGGGGTGATTATCGAGCCTGACACAGGGCTGCTGGTCAAGGATGAGGAGCTGTGTTTTCCCAGGCTGGTGGTTGAGCTTGAGGCTGGGCTGCTGATCAAGGATGAGGAGCCATGGTTTCTCAAGGTGGAGGTCGAGCTTGAGGCTGGGCTGCTGGTCAGGGATGAGGTGCCATGCTGTGCTGGGGTGATTATGGAGATTGAGACAGGGCTGCTGGTCAAGGATGAGGAGCTGTGTTTTCCCAGGCTGGTGGTCGAGCTTGAGGCTGGGCTGCTGGTCAAGGATGAGGAGCCATGCTTTCTCAAGGTGGAGGTCGAGCTTGAGGCTGGGCTGCTGGTCAAGGATGAGGAACCATGCTTTCTCAAGGTGGAGGACGAGCTTGAGGCTGGGCCGCTGGTCGGGGATGGGGTGCCATGTTGTGCTGGGGTGATTATGGAGATTGAGACAGGGCCCTCTTCCTCCTTCCTGTTAGTCTCCCTCTCTCTTCCCACACCCTCTGATCCTAGCTGTCCATTTCTCCAATCCTAATATTTACCTCTCCCGACTCCCACCACCTCCCCAGACTTCTCTCCAGGTCACTGTAAGGTCCTGGCGCCAGCTCTCCTGAGGGGCTGACTCTCCCGTCTGTCCTTAGCCTCTCTCCATTCCGGCACAGACTGGGTCACCCCTGTCTGCAACTTCTGCCTCTGGGGGTGCAATCTGCTAGGAAAGAAAACCCACAGAATGGCTGGGAAGACCCCATGAGCAAGGCAGCCCCCATCTTGTGCCCCTCACCTGTAAGCTCTCGGGTTACCAGGAGCAGGAAGAAGAAAGGGGCCTGGAAGCTTGGAATCATGGTGGTGGTGAACTGGGTGGGAGGAGGTGGAACAGTTTCAGGAAGGCGCTGCGTGTGAGGTGGAGCGATCACAGGCGCCTGCTGCTTTATACCGGTCCCCAGCCCGCCCTAGACTCCGTGGGAGCAGGTGACAGGTAACAAAACTCCGCCCCTTCCCCCTTTCCTTCTTCCTCCTCCTTCCCAACCATTCCTGGGCCCTCCTGGAGGGTACCTGGGCTCCCATCACTCAACCCTCTGACAACCTGTTTGTTCTCCAAATGGTCTACTCCTTCTACCAACCACTCCCTGGCTGCAGAAGGCAGTGGAGGAGTGGGGGGAGTCCAGGACCTGGGTCTCCCTGGCTCCCCGTTTAGCCTCAGGGCGACAATCAGGGTGAGAAAAGGAACAGAGGAATGGGCTACGTCAGACCCTGACAGCAGGCCGAGGAAGCCCACCCTTGGGTCCCTCACCCCACTGCCTCATTTTCACCGGGTCCCTGGAAGCCTCCCTGCGGGGGCTGGGGAAGAGCGAGACGGCTCTAAAAAGGGTGGACCGGGTGCCACTCGTGAACCCCCTCCCCCCGCCACTTCCCGGAATCTCTGCTCCTCGGCCAGTCCCAGCCGCTCCCTGTCCCGTTCCTCACGCAGGTCCCCCGAAACCCACAGTCCCCGCCCCTGCACCAGCCCGCGTTCCCGCCTCAGCTTCTATGGAGGCGGGGGCGGGGGAAGAACCCTTTCACGCTCCGCGGGACCCCGGGGTCTTTCCTGTCGGATCCTCCTTCAGCGGCGGGCCGGGCTCTCCTGCCCCCTGGCGGCCCCCGGGAGCCTGGCAGCCGTGCGCGCGGGAACCGGGGGCGCCGGGGTCTCGGGAGAAAGCCGCGTGCTAGCGCGCGGCCGGAGGGGCCGAGGCGGGAGGTCGGGGAGACGGGGGCCCCGGCGCGCTGGTCAGGGGCTCGCCCGCAGAACGCAGGGAGGCGCCGCTCAGTCCACGGAGGGGCTGTCGGCGATAGGGGACCCCGGGGCGCGTGGGGCGGGGTCCCAGGGAGCCGGCGCTCGGTGGGTGGGGCCCTGAGGTACGTGGTAGGGGCGCGAGGTATGTGGGAGAGGTCAGCGGAATGTGGGAAGGGAAATGGGTTAGGTTAATGATTCATTTAGCAGGCAGGGACTAGGTGGGGCAACAGAGTGGTATTTGGGGGCCCCCGAGCGACGCTGGGGGGGCAGGCTCTGCTGTGACCACGGGCCGTCTGTGTGGGGGCGTGATGGGGGTGCAAGGAGGACGAGGGCAGGAATGTCTGGCGCGGGGAGGTATTTGGGGCACAGAGCACATGGAGCGCGGGGGTCGGGCCCCCTCCGGAGGCTACATCCCCCCAGTTCTCGGTGGCCGCGAGTACAGACTGGACAAGGAACTTTCAGGGCACTCGGGTGCCGTGGGGCTGGAAGAAGCCGGGCGGCCAGGCGGGGCGCGCGGCCCGGGGGGGGGGTGGTGGAGGGGGTTGGCGCGGAGGCCCCCCCACCCGCCCGCGGGAGAAAGCGCTAGCATCTAAGTGGGCGGTCCCAAAACTTCGGCCCCGTCGTTGCCTGGCAACAGCCATTCAGTCCGGTTGCTGGGACACGCGTCACCATGGCGACAGCTCCGCGCCGCCCGCTCCGAGTATTTAAAGAGCAAGCGCGCGCAACGGCTGGGTGTCGGAAAGCAGTTTTCCGGGCCACCGCGGTCTCCCCTCCGGCCTCCGCGTCCCCCCACGACCGTCCCCTCCCCCTCGTTCAGGCGCCAAGTCTCTGGCCTCCAGGGTGGACCCGACTCCCCAGCGCGACACCGTTTCTGGAGCTGGTCCGGCTGCAGGCGGTGCGGAGCGGGATCCCGGGCCCCGGGTGGGCGGGAGGGACGGGACGCGGTGCAGTGTTGTTCTCTCCCCCGCCAATATTGCACTCGTCCCGGCCTCCGGCCCCCCCGGCCCCCCGGCCTCCCCCTCGCCCCGAGCGGGCCAGCTCCAGCCCTCCTGGCTCTCGATCCGAACGACCTGATAGACTGGATTGTCGCCGCTGCCACACCGTGAGTAAGGGGGGCCCGGGAGGGCTTTAGCCATCTTCTGGTCAGCCCCTCATCCTTCACCTGCCCCAGTCCAGTGCCCTTCTTCCGCCACGCCACGGGGCCCCACACTCAGAGGAACTTCCAACCTCCCAGCCCTCAGGCTCCTTCCTGCTCCCTGCACTATCCCGGGAAGTCCCTCATATAAGCAACACGTGCTCCCTTAGAAAACCACTGTAACTTTATGGCAACTGGAGGTTATCTTTCCTGGGGTTAGCTCCTGAGAAAAATACCCCTTGAAAAGCTCCGTCTTCTGGACAGTGGGGGTCACCACCCCTCTGGGGCTGAACACCTGTGGGTGCCACAGGACAGTCTGTTTGGCTGGGTGGCTGTAGATTAGACCCCAGGGGCTCCAGGATGGACCCCAAGGCCGGAGGATCTAAAATGGGGATTCTGAATCCAGTGGGCACCTCTTCACACTCTTTCCTGGAGCAGCTGCCTCCGGAATGGCTCAAAATCCTCAGGCACTGTGTCTAATGAAGGAGAAAGGATTAAGGTCAGAAGATAGAACTCTCCAAGAGGGGATACGGAAGTTCAGGGTGATCTCAGACTGGAGCCTCACCATTGCATCGATACTGGAGATTGGACCAAATGATGTTTTCTTGGGAGAAGCAGAATACACCAAGACGCCCTCCTCGCATGGCTGTGTCAATGATCACCCCAGAATCCGCCACTAGCTGAGGACCCTCATAGAGCTTCACCCTGTCCAGGATAGGGGTGTACATTGGTGCTAGGGTGCCAGCAGGCACTGGGCCATCGAACCCAGGCCCTGCTCATCCCCAACCCCCCTTGAGCTCACCAGGCCAGAGAGAGAACGGAAGGAGGGAGTGGGAGGAAGGAAAGGGGAGGGACGGGGTGCTTTTCTCAGGACTGGGGCCCCTGCCTCTTTGTCCACCCCCTTTGCATCTCAAAGCACCAGCCGCATTCCAAGCGAGGATTGGGTTGCCATGACAATGAGCACAATGGGCTGGGGGGTGAAGTCACCCGCTTCCCAGGCTCTAGTCCACCCTCCCTCATCCTCTGCCCTGGCACCCTGCAGCCCCAGGCACCTTAAAGGGAAACCAACCCAAGTCCCTGGACCCTAGGCTCTTGCGTTTCCCCTCCCTTCCCTGTCACCCCCACCAACTAGGAAATGCACAGTGCTGCACACAGCACAGAACTGAGAAGCCTTAGCTCTGCTACTAAGAACCATGTGGTCTGGGCCTCAGTTTACTCTTCTGCAAATGACCCCTTCAGAGTCAGCTTCTGGGAGGTGCCACAGAAGGCGCCGAATGTCACGGGCCTCTCCATAGACTGGCCTGCGCTTTAGAGGCTCCCAAGGTATGCCCTCATTTTACAGAGGGGAAATCGGATCATGGACCAGGAAGGACTCGCCAAACATTGCCTATAGGTCCTGGGCAGCACCAGCTCCAAGGCCCAGGCTGCCTGACGGGTAGGAGAGAGGGGCTGAGAGGGCAGAGAGAGAAGCGGCTTCAGTCCCAGCCCATGGCACCAAGGAATGGAGTAGCGGGGCAGTCACTGGTGAGTCCCAGCTACAGATGAAGAAAGAGTGGGCTGGAGTCCCTCAGGAGGGTGCAGCCCCTCCCCTCACCGAATGTAGCCAACTTGGGGCCGGTGCAGCAGCTGCCAGCGATAGGAGGTCTTGTCACGCCAGCCCACGTTTCGTGGGTCAGTCCACAGCAGTCGGACCTGATCAGGGGTGTGGCCAGTATGCCACAGGGCATTCCGGAGGTGTTCACCTGGGCCGGACACTGATGTCACTGCCTGGAGGGTATTGGCAAAGACAGCAGCTCAGCCACAGGTTGACAACGGGTTGGTAAGTGCAGGTGGAAAAGGAAGTCAAGGAGATCGGAGAACATTCTAGAGTCCTGGGGAGCTAGCTTCCAGGCCAGATGTCTAAGAAAGAGGGTTCCCCCTCAGGCAGTGGGGGAAGCCCTAGGGTCAGCCCAAGGAGGCTTTGGGACTGAGGGAAGTGGGCAGACTCAGACCTTGAGCTGCAGCCCGGGCTGAGCGACAGCCCGGAAGGGTGTGGCTTGCCAGTAGGTCTGCTCTGTTTGCTTCCACATGACCACATAGAAGCGGCCGCTATCCTGATAGCTGAAGAGAAAGCCTGCGTAGTCATCATCAGTCACTGTGTTCACATGGAAGGTGCCTTCAAAGTCCACACCATTGAAGGCTGTATACCCTGGGGGTGGGTGGGATCAAGGTCAAGGGCAGCAAAGCCACTACAGGCCTGCTGTGGGCCAGGGGTGGGAAGGAATGCTTGCAGTATGGGTGGCCAGCGTGGCCCCCTCCCTCTGCCCCTGTAGGATTCCTCCATTTGGAAACGATTGACTGGGTGTCCCGCACATACCAACTGCCAAGCCGGGGTCACTGTTCATGGTCTGAACGATTTCCATACCCTGGTGGTGTGTAGTAAAGAAGAAAGCTCTGTTCCGGGTACGCTACCTCATCTAGGCCCCACCTGGTAGTCTGCTCTGTCCAGCACTTGCCCAGCCCACTGCCCTCGTACCTGATTGAGCACGACCCAGTTTGGATCAATCTGAGCATCACCCTCGGGATCCAGGACGACAGTCTGATAGGCTCGAAAATCTGTGAGGGTCACCTCTGCACTTTCAGGGCACACATCCAGGGGATCTACCACCGCATCATTGTCAAAATCATCCTCACACACATCACCAACGCCATTGCCTGGGCAGAGTGAAGCCAGGCATTCAGGAAGGCCTGGTCGTGGCCTCTAGACAACACTACCAACTGTTGTGCCTTGTCTTCCTGACTTCCCCCTGGCAGCACCCACCACCTCCCCCTGGGTAGCGCTCCCACCAGTGCCATCCTCTGTGGGACCCCAGCCTTACCATCTGAGTCCTTCTGATTGGGATTGGGTACCAGGCGACAGTTATCAGGACCAGGAGGCACATAGTCTGGGACCCCATCATTGTCATCATCCCCATCACACTCATCTCCAAGT